GCCGCTGCCGGTCAGTCGGCTGGTTGGCCGGGCAGTTAGTCGGTGGGCCAGTGGCCGGTAGCTGGGTTTTCGGCTTTCCTGTTTGAAGGTGGGAGGACCCGGGAGCGACCTGCACACCTGAGCCGCAAGGAGAGGAGCCTCGGCCTCGCATCCAGGTCAGTGGGCTTTCCCCACAACCCCAGGAGTGCCGCACGGTTGGGATCAGGATCCCGGACCGGGGCATTACCTGGGATATTCAAGAACCACACGGAGGGCCACTCCTTCGGATCCCCTCCCACCGCGGGAGCTTCTCGGTTCTCTCAATAAATCCTGCTTCAAAACAAAACAAAACAAACAAACAAAAAACACGGAGCGTTGGGGGTCAGTGTCTCTTTGGGCCCCGGATCGTGTCCCAGCCGTGAGGACGGAGACCCTCCTCTCTTGCTCTGGCCTGAAGACTGGGAGGAGGGTAAAACTGTGAATTTGCTTCGACTCTCCACCCCATTCCTCTTGGGTTTCATGAACGGTCCGCGCTCCTGCAGGTGCCAGGATGGCCCTGAAGATGAGCAGGATGGTCAATTACCTCCGTTCTGATTGTTCCAGTTCTGCGCAGCCCCTGGGAAGAGTGTCAAAGACTAGACGCCAAGGGTGATCCAGAAACTTTAGGTCTGTTCTCCCAGGCAATACTTTTCGACAGAGCATGTGTCCAGATGCAGTGTCTCAGCTAAGACCAATTCTATCCTGTAATTGCAAAAGTACAACATATGAATCTAGAGTCACTGCGTCCCATTAGTCTGCGAAATGGAATTGGTCCTATTTCCTCTCCTCATGACATCTAACTCCATACCTGCAATTTTTTCTCAGACGAAAATAAGATTAGATGTCTAAAAAACAGAATTTCCAAAGTTTGGGTAGAAAACATTGGCATTCCAGCTATTGTTTAATCTTCTTTTAAAAATTCAGTTATATTTTTACTTTTAGAGCAACTGGATATTTTCTCTTCTCATATTTTGGGCTATTTGCTGTCTTTCTCTTCTCTCTCCTTCCTCAACCCTTCCTTAATTGATTATAATACAAATCTAAAGTGTTTCCAAATTTTATAGTGTATTTTGTGAAGTTAAAGGATCACTACAGAAAAAATAGTTGGCCTTAGACATAATTCATCTTCAGCATGTTCAGTCATTGATTATTATTGGTGTATAGAAAACACTAAATGTCTGATTTAGAAATTATTTCTCTCTTGGGCTTAAGAGCTGCAGCCCATTTGCACTCTGCCTAAATTCATATTTAAGTGACTAAGTGGTAGATGTGAAGGTTGGTTAGTTTTTCACTTTCTGCATTTACCCATGATTTTATTTAACATTTTAATCATTAGTGGATACTTTGAGATTTGGTGATGTGCCAATTATTAGCTTATTGCTGCCAGGAGACAAGATGAGTTTCGTGGTGTCTTCCTTACTGGGGTAAGGAAGCCAAGGCAGTTGAACTTTGACTTTAAGACTAAAGGGAGTATGATCAATGACACTAAGGAGGTGGGAACAAAGTTGTAAGAATTCCTGTCTTTCAACTGAACAGGGAAAATCTAGGATAATTTCAAGAAGGAATGATATACGTCATTGGACCTCGAAGGATTTCTCCTGGGTTTCTTTAGGCAGAGAAGGGTAGAGCGTGGCTGGACTGAGAGCTGTGTGGGCAGACAAGCACAGGCTGACCATGAGAAGTGGTCCATGGTCTAGCTTGGCTCCCATGGTGAGTGGTAGACACTGAAGCTGGTGACAGGAATGAGACATGGTGCCAGCTAGTTTGAAGGCTAGCTGCAGAAGTCTGAACTTTGAAAGCATGAGTTTTAAGCAGGGGATTGACTGATAGTTCAGAGAGCTTCTCAAAGCCAGAGACCTTGGCCCTTGATCCTCCCAACTCCCAGCCTGATACAGAGAGAACATCCAGTAAATATTTGTGGGATTACTTTCTTTCTTTCTTTCTTTCTTTTTTTTTTTAGAGACGAGATCTCATTATGTTGCCCAGGCTAGTCTCCAACTCCTGGGCCCAAGCAATCCTCTGCCTTGACCCAAAGTACTGAGATTATAGGCGTGAGCCACCACACTGGTCAAATGGTTTGACCACACCTTAGAATCCTGCTGCTCAAATTTGAGCAAGTCTGAGAGACTCACCTGGGAATCTTGTTCAAATGCAGATTATGATCCAGTAGGTCAGGGTGAGACCTGACATTATGACATTTCTAACAAATTCCCAGGAGAGTGCTGGTCGCCTCCTTATCTATAAAAAGGATTTTGCATAGTAGTTTGCAAACCTGGCTGACTCAGAATCACCTGGGGAGGTTTGTAAAAGGTACCGATAAAGAAGTCTGGAATGTCTTTACAAAGTACCTCCAGGTGATTCCAAGGCGGGAATTGCTGTGGTGTTCACATTGCTCAGGCTATGCAGTAGGAAGCAGAGACCAAGGGAAAAAGACACTGGGGGCAGCCAGTCCAGTTAGGAAAATGGGAGGCCAATTCAGGGCAGAAGTGATGAGGTCTTATTTTGGGTCTAAGAGAGTTGGGAGGTAGGAAGACATTGGAGAGATAAAATCTTTAGGACAGAGGACAAGGGAGTGGGAGGTGTTAGTCTCTAGACTAATTGGACAGGATGAGAAGTCAAGAGGGAGGAACAATTCTGGGAAAATTCAGCTTTGAACATGAGGAATGGTGTGCCCTTTAGACAATAATTTTTTTTTTTTGAGTTGGTGTCTCACTGTCGCCCAGGCTGGAGTGCAGTGATACGCTCATGGCCACTACAGCCTTGACCTGCTGGGCTCAGGCAGTCCTTCCACCTCAGCCTTCCAAGTAGCTGGATCTACAGGCACACGCCACCAGGCTCAGTGTTAATTTTTTGATTTATTGTAGAGACAAGGTCTCACCAATTTGCCCAGGCTGGTCTTGAACCCCTGGGCTCAGGCGGTCCTCTAGGCTCACCCTCCCAAACTGCTGGGATTATAGACTTGAGCCACTGTGCCTGGCCTAGACAGTAATGTTTAAAGTAAAATTTGAAAGTTGTTTTTTACTCGGTCATGAGATTCCCTTTTTTTTTTTTTTTGAAATATAAGGGTGTTTATATACTTCCCTGCTTAAAATCCTCTGGTGAATTTCCTAATGCAAGATGTGAGAATGAAGAGCTAACATAAACACAATTGACATGGATTGGCTCAGCCTGTAATCCCACGCCTTTGGGAGGCTGAAAGTGAGTGGATTGCCTGAGCCCGCAGGTTCAAGACCCGCCTGGGCAGCGAGACCTCATCTCTACAATAAATAAAAAAATCAGTCGGGCTTGGTAGTGCATGCCTGTAATTCCGGCTACTCAGAAGGCTGAGGCGGAAGGATCACCAGAACCCAGCAGGCGAGGTAGCGGTGGCCGGGAGCGGCCACTGCACTCGAGTCTGGGCTACCGAGTGAGACTCCAACTCAAAATAAAAAACAAAAACATGGATTAAGTTCCACAGACTGTTCACCCCCATACCCCCATTCAAAATGTAACACTCAGTCACTGCCTGGTGTGGTCCCAACCAGGCTGAAACTTGGCAGCTTTGTTTTTTCCTGAGTCACTATTTTTCCTCCTTCCTTCTTTCTCAGGGGAGTTCCACTTTTTTGGCCTTCATGTTTCCTAGCATCATTCTCTGATTTCAATGCTTGATGTGTCTCTGTTTTCACAGAATCTACACATAGTCTAGGAAGGGTGGGCTGCATCCCTTATAAACTCTTAAAGCCAGGTCTCGTTCAACCTTGTGGGTCTTCAGAAGGTCCATTCTTCTCTCTTACACATCTGGTAAAAATCTTCTAAAAGAGGATTTGAGGATTTGTCCTAGAGTAATTTGTTTAACTTTAGGCCCAGATCTCCAGAGTGCTGCTGACTGAGCTTTGCCTTTAGCCTGCTTAAAATTTCTGTTAAGGTCGTTGATTTACATACACATTTATGCACACTGAGAGCTGACCATTCATTGAGCACAATGCTTTTAATCACTTTATTCTTTGTTATATAGTAATATTAGCTTCTGTAACATGTCTGTATGGGAGGCCTAGACACAGATGGGATAGGATTGGCCCTCTGATAGATACATTTTAACATCCTTGTATAGCTTTCAATACTCTGCAGAGGCTGACCCTAATTTAGCTGTCCAGTTGCATTTTTGCTGTTCTCCAAACCAAGGAACTCATTTCTGTTCTTTGTGCTTCTCTGCCTTTGCACATACCATTTCCTCTTCCTGGAAAGCCCTTTTATGTATATTCTACAAAATGAATGAACTCGTATTAATCCTTCAGGTTGCAGATCAAACTCTTGAAAATTCCTCACCCTCGTCATTTTTACTCTTTTCTTCTAATGTTAATGTATATATTACGTCAGATACAGATTTCTTCTATGCCATTTAGTCACTCTGTCTGCATGTCTTTATCCATACCCCCTCCAAACTGAGCACTTAGGCCCACATTAGCTCTTACAAATGGCCCCACACATAACAGATGTCCAGGAAGAGTCTATGGTAGACATGGGCCTTCAGCTGACTAGCTTTGCAATGTTTTCCTCAGTAGAGAGGAAAAGGAGCAGGTTATTTTGTGGGGAGATGAGGGAAGGAACAGGATCAGAAGCTAAAAATCGGGAGGAAGGACTGGCCCAACAAGGAGTGGGCCCAGATGGCTGAGTCATGAGGTTGAGTGGGGCCACTGGGAGAAGTAAGGCAACAGTCTCAGGCTGGGGAGAGATCATCGAAGTCCCTGAAAGTTATGGTAAAATATTTATTATTTTATTTATATATACATTTATTGTTATTACTGTTATTATTATTATTTTTTTTACTTTTTTTTTTTGAGTTGGCGTCTCACTCTGTTGCCCAGACTGGAGTACAGTGGCCGCTCCCGGCCACCGCAGCCTCGACCTGCTGGGCTCCGGCGATCCTTCCACCTCAGCCTTCCAAGTAGCTGGAATTACAGGCATGTGTACTGTTATTATTTTAGAGGTAGGATCTCATCTATCACTCAAGTTGGAGTGCAATGGGGTAGTCATAGCTCACTGCATCTTGAACTCCTGGTCTTAAGCCATCCTCTCACCTCAGCCTCCCAAATAGCTAGGAATACAGGCATGCACCACCACGCCCAGCTAACTTTTTGTTTTTTTATAGAGACAGGTT